CGGCGCGTACTTGGGCATCAGTTCGTGGATCCTGCGGATGAAATCGGACTTCTCGGCGCAGCCCTTGCACGCCTCGCCCCAGTCGTCCAGGATCCGGCGCAGCTCCTTGACGCGCAGCTTGCGCAGGTCGGCGGTGCTCAGGTCGATCTGCTTGTCTGCGGGAAGAGCAGAGCCGCGCTCAGCGGGGGCACCGGGGCCGCCCGACCTGCGCCGGGCGCGGGGGGCGCGGGGGGGTGCGGGGATGGCGAGGAGAGGAGCCCGGAGGCGAAGGGCTCGACGGCTGCAGCTGCGGAGGCCGGTGCAGGAGGCGAGGGAGCCAACATGCAAGAGGGGAGAGGTGCCGGGCTCCGGGGGGAGGAAGGAACGCCTAAGGGAGGCTTTCGACCCCTTTTGATAGGGTTTTATTACTAAAAGTCATTGCTAGAAGCCAGAAAGTTTAGTTGCAGATTAAATGTAGAGTTCCACGATAGCCCTGGAACCCCCTTTATTATAGGAGCAGTGATAGTTTAATTCTGCTTTCCACTGGATAAACAAGGTAGCAGACTCAGAGGGAAGATAAGCAAGTGCCAACAACAAAAAACTTAATAGGAAGCAATAGGACTTTAGTACAAGAACTAAGAAGTATAAAGACCCACAATCCAAGGGGTGTCTCCAGGGAGTGTTAGGGCAGACATAAAGGAAAGCAGTCAGAAGGAGGTTATTTCCAAGACTGTTCTTCAGATTAGTCTTTTCAGGAAGAGTATGTCATGTAGGAATGTGAGAGTTCAAGGACGGTGGTAAGAAACAGAGTGCAGAGTGCTCTGAGCAGACACCAGAGGAGGGGAGAGGGATGTTTGTCAACCTGCTACTGGCAAACATAAGAGCAGAGCTCAGGGCTCAAACGCTGTGCACAGGAGGGATCATCCCAGGACACACCTGCTCCCCAGGACAAGCCTTGCTGCACCCTCTTCTAAATACAATATTCAAAGCAGTGATTTGAGGGCAGCCGTGCTGATATGCCTGGGAGTTACCTATTTCAAGGCACATTGGTGGCTCTTCAGAAGCTAAAGAAGGGTTAGTAGCCTGCAGTCTTACCTGAGCATCTCCATAACTCTCTCTGTGATGTTCATGGAGAGCAACCCAGGCTATGCAACCTAATTCAGCTAGCAATCTTGCTACAAAAGTTAGAACTGAGTACTTTCAGCATGCTGTTTTACACCAAAGAATCCATACCCCAGAAAAGCAGGGGCATATCCCCTTCTGATGGCAACTCACCGTATTTTAGTTCACAGATCTGGCTGTCTTTCTTCTTTAGTTTCTCACAGATCTTTTCCACGGGGATGTGATGACTCATGGGCTTTGATACCTCATTAATGATTTTGGTGGCTGCATCACTTGTGGCCCCAACATAATAGCACTAGAGGGAAGAAAAGAATGAGGTGGGGATGGTTGGAAAAATGCTTCTGAAAGCAGGGTTTTCTATCATCTCAGTTGCTTTTTTCAGCTAGATGTTTACAGTTGGAGAACCTTTCCAAGTGACCACTACAGATAGGCAAATGGAAGCCTAACTCTGAGCCTACGGCACTGAGCAGACATTTCCCATCACACTGCTTTTAAAGCCATTGAGGCTGGTTGTCTTGCTTCTCAACGTCATTCTTAAACCAATTCAATTTTTAAAAAAGTCTTCTAAATTCAAAAAGGAAGACTTTCTGCAGGATTCCCCCTCTTCCTTTCCAATGGAGGCTCTCTGTAGTTCTTCTCAGGAGAGTACAGGGCCTTTTCCTTAGGGATCTTCATTTAGTCATTGCCTTCTGGTTTTAGTTGGGGCAATTTGGTTTCTCTTTATTTAGTTTTCATCTCAAGAGTATAAATACTTTTATCAGCTTATATAGCACCTCAAAGACAATTTAAAGGACAGGGAAGTCCTAGAGCAAATAAAAGCTTTGTAATCCCCAGTGCTTCAGTAAGAGAAACAAGGTCAGCCAGTGAGATGTCTGTTGACAGATGGGCTTTTTTTTTTTTTCAGGTGAAAAGGTCAAACTCCTCAAGTTCTCTCATAAAAAAACCCCACCAAAAACAGGACCAACTGTGGCCACAAAGCTAGGATGAAGAGCCCCTGGGAAGCCATATGCTACAAACTCAGCAGCAATGTTTTCCCCCTCATTCACCAGGTACTCTACAACCTACCCCCCTCCAGAAGCCACCATCATTGACTACTACTACTTACCAGGCGGTTCTCTTTGCCTTTTGCTTCTTTGCAGGATTTCAAGAGCTCCTTTTCAATACTGGCTGGCGTGAACTCAACATCATTGTCCTTTAGACTCTGGTAGAACCTTCCCAGGAATGTAACACACACTGGAAGGAGAGATGGATGGAGTTATCTGCCACTGCAGCGAGCTTGTGGCAGCTCTTAGAAGACACTTGGAGGGAAACACAATCAGGCATTTGGAGAACAGAACTTCTAGAGGCTGCATTAGCAGTCAGCAACTTCACACATATGTCCCTCTGTCTTTCAGAGCACATATGAATCAACAATATGCTCTGGTACTTTTGGTGGGTTTTTGACAATCTGAGAAACCAGATCCATTAAAGTGTCCAGTAGCTTTTGTACACTGAGTGAGCAGCAGGATTCAGTTGAGGGATACAGGAAAAAAGTGCCCGTGCAAAGATGTAAACTTAATTTTCTTTCTTTGAGAAGCAACGTGTCAGACCATAGGCTTCAAAACCAGTTTTGATTGACAGCCAACTCTCTCTACATGATCCTGTTACAGACTCCACATGTGCTATTTCTAGCAATACAGTATCACTGATTATCAACTTGGTTCAGTTCATGGGAAAGTTATTTTCAAGAGGAAAAGAAATTATTCACGCTACATCCACCTGGTGTTTCTCCTCTCTTCATTCCCACAAGCTTCTGAATCAGTTTCAGATTGAAAGAGGGAAGAGCCTTAAAGATAACGCAAGTCCCACCAGTGGATCAGCAGTTGAGAAGACAGATGCCAGTTCCTGCCTGTGGGCAGGGCAGGTACAACTTAATTGTGACACTTTCCCTTTGGCAGCAGGCACTCTGCATAGGCTCCAGGCTAATCCCAGTGTGGCTGGGGAAGGGGGCAGACAGCCAGTCACAGCAGCAGGGTCTGTGTGACAGGGTGACTCAAGAGTGTCAGATTTCACTCATTCTGCTGTTCACAAGCCTGTGAACTTCAGCATCACCTGGAACGAGAGCTCTGCAGCCCCATCAATTCCTGCAGCAGGACCTGTGGATTACAGGACTTCCAGGTGCAAGACAGGAGCCAGGCACTGGCCTGCCTCTAGAGGAAAGGTACAAGTTGTGTCTTTTATGTGATTATTTATTTTTTTTTAACCCCAAGGGAAAGGGATGAGCAACTGTTACTATGGTTAGCAACTTGTATTCAGCTCTGAAGACAAGCCATGGCACAGGAATGCAAGTATGACCATCACAAAGCCAAACAGAAATTTACTCTAATTATATTAAAACTAGACGTAATTATAAACTGGGCCAGTTAGGAAAACATTTTTGGTATGTATACAACACCATCATTTACCTCACATCAGTTTGTCCCCAGTCACAGACACACACTGATGTCCCCTGTGCGCTGTTTGGAAGTGAAAACCTTTGGAAAGAATAAAGATGCTGCAGGCAGTGGAACCAATGAATACAGCAGGAACTGGTTTCCAACCTAGTGCTGGGATAATAGCTGGAAGTTTTGATTTACTGTGTTCCCTCCCACTCCTTCTGTCCTGCTGTTTCTCTCCCATCACAAAGGATGGGGTGAGCATTAGTACCACGAACTCCCAACCAGTTACTATCGCCCCACCTCAAGTTTTTCTTGTTTCACCTAGAAAATCTGTTCTGTCCCACCGTGCCAAAGTTGTTTAATTAGCTGTGCAGCTCAACAGCTTCCACTCCAGAGGCTTTTGTACTGAGGTGCTACATGACGTGCCCGGTGTGGTTCACATCAGCTGAGCATCGCTGCTGGCTCCGGGTGTTCAGGAGGGGACACCCTGTGCCCCCCGGGCAGAGGGCAAATCCGAGGCCAACGTGACACTGCGATGAGTCAGGGGAGAGCCCAGGGGAGCAGCTGTTCCCAGCAGCTCCTCGCCTCGATGCTCCGGTCTCCGTCACCCAGAAAAGGAGACGGGGAGAGGCTCCCC